TTGGAGCAAATAACAAAGACTATTGCTTTAGTTTAAACGGGATGTAGCTCAGTAGTAGAGCACATGTGAGAGGTCCTGGGTTCAATTCCCAGCATCTCCAACAGGTGATATTGTTCAAAACCCAGTCAATGACACATCTTGAAACCAAGTTTTTTTGGAAAAAAAAACAGGTCAAATTAGTGTGTACTGAGGGGATGTAGCTCAGTGGTAGAGCGCATGCTTAGCATGTATGAGGTCCTGGGTTCAATCCCCAGCATCTCCAAACTTCAATCTTGATCCAAAAAAATCTGACCAGAATAATTTCACATCTTGAAATTAAAAAGTTGGATCAAATAACAAAGACTATTGCTTTAGTTTAAACGGGATGTAGCTCAGTGGTAGAGCACATGTTAGAGGTCTTGGGTTCATTCCCCAATATTTCCAACAAAGGCCTTTTGTTGAGTTGTTTACACAAGTTGTGAAAAGTTTACAATCTCGTTAAAATGCAATGTTTGTATTTGCACTGTTTAATTTTTGGTATATTTGCATTTCATACTAGAAAGGGGGATGTGGTGTTATCCGTTTACATAAGCTTTACGTCTTATTGTGAAGGCCTAAACCGAAAGTACGTGTGTGTTGGGGAGATACTTTTACATGTGGAATGGTTCGGAGCGACGTAAAATAAACGAGTGAAGTTACTCCACAACGTGTCGCTTGAGTCCTTAAAATCTATATTACGACAAGTGATATTGTTCAAAACACAGTCAATGACACATCTTTAAAGAAGGTTAATTTTGAAAAAAAGAGGTGAATTTCATGTGTACTGAGGGGATGTAGCTCAGTGGTAGAGCGCGTGCTTCGCATGTATGAGGTCCTGGGTTCAATCCCCAGCATCTCCAAGCTTCAATCTTGATCCAAAAAAACCTGACCAGAATAATTTCACATCTTGAAATTCTGAAGTCGGAGCAAAGCACATGTTAGAGGTCTTGGGTTCATTCCCCAATATTTCCAACCAGTGATATTGTTCAAAACACAGTCAATTTGTTTTGAAAGTATGAGGTCCTGGGTTCAATCCCCAGCATCTCCAAACTTCAGTCTTGATCCAAAAAAATCTGACCAGAATAATTTCACATCTTGAAATTAAAAAGTTCTAGCAAATAACAAAGACTATTGCTTTAGTTTAAACGGGATGTAGCTCAGTGGTAGAGCACATGTGAGAGGTCCTGGGTTCAAATCCCAGCATCTCCAACAGGTGATATTGTTCAAAACCCAGTCAATGACACATCTTGAAACCAGGTTTTTTTGGAAAAAAAAAACAGGTCAAATTTGTGTGTACTGAGGGGATGTAGCTCAGTGGTAGAGCGCATGCTTAGCATGTATGAGGTCCTGGGTTCAATCCCCAGCATCTCCAAACTTCAATCTTGATCCAAAAAAATCTGACCAGAATAATTTCACATCTTGAAATTAAAAAGTTGGATCAAATAACAAAGACTATTGCTTTAGTTTAAACGGGATGTAGCTCAGTGGTAGAGCACATGTTAGAGGTCTTGGGTTCATTCCCCAATATTTCCAACCAGTGATATTGTTCAAAACACAGTCAATGACACATCTTTAAAGAAGGTTAATTTTGAAAAAAAGAGGTGAATTTCATGTGTACTGAGGGGATGTAGCTCAGTGGTAGAGCGCGTGCTTCGCATGTATGAGGTCCTGGGTTCAATCCCCAGCATCTCCAAGCTTCAATCTTGATCCAAAAAAACCTGACCAGAATAATTTCACATCTTGAAATTCTGAAGTCGGAGCAAAGCACATGTTAGAGGTCTTGGGTTCATTCCCCAATATTTCCAACCAGTGATATTGTTCAAAACACAGTCAATTTGTTTTGAAAGTATGAGGTCCTGGGTTCAATCCCCAGCATCTCCAAACTTCAGTCTTGATCCAAAAAAATCTGACCAGAATAATTTCACATCTTGAAATTAAAAAGTTCTAGCAAATAACAAAGACTATTGCTTTAGTTTAAACGGGATGTAGCTCAGTGGTAGAGCACATGTGAGAGGTCCTGGGTTCAAATCCCAGCATCTCCAACAGGTGATATTGTTCAAAACCCAGTCAATGACACATCTTGAAACCAGGTTTTTTTGGAAAAAAAAACAGGTCAAATTGGTGTGTACTGAGGGGATGTAGCTCAGTGGAAGAGCGCATGCTTAGCATGTATGAGGTCCTGGGTTCAATCCCCAGCATCTCCAAACTTCAATCTTGATCCAAAAAAGTCTGACCAGATTAATTTCACATCTGAAATTAAAAAGTTGGAGCAAATAACAAAGACTATTGCCTTAGTTTAAACGGGATGTAGCTCAGTAGTAGAGCACATGTGAGAGGTCCTCGGTTCAATTCCCAGTATCTCCAACAGGTGATATTGTTCAAAACCCAGTCAATGACACATCTTGAAACAAGGTTTTTTTGGAAAAAAAAAGAGTTGAAATTGGTGTGTACTGAGGGGATGTAGCTCAGTGGTAGAGTGCGTGCTTTGCATGTATGAGGTCCTGGGTTCAATCGCCAGCATCTCCAAACTTCAGTCTTGATCCATAAAAATCTGACCAGATCATTTTCACATCTTGAAATTAAAAAGTTGGAGCAAATAACAAAGACTGTTGCTTTAGTTTAAACGGGATGTAGCTCAGTGGTAGAGCACATGTGAGAGGTCCTGGGTTCAATTCCCAGCATCTCCAACAGGTGATATTGTTCAAAACCCAGTCAATGACACATCTTGAAACCAGGTTTTTTTGGAAAAAAAAACAGGTCAAATTTGTGTGTACTGAGGGGATGTAGCTCAGTGGTAGAGCGCATGCTCAGCATGTATGAGGTCCTGGGTTCAATCCCCAGCATCTCCAAACTTCAATCTTGATCCAAAAAAGTCTGACCAGATTAATTCCACATCTGAAATTAAAAAGTTGGAGCAAATAACAAAGACTATTGCTTTAGTTTAAACGGGATGTAGCTCAGTCGTAGAGCACATGTGAGAGGTCCTCGGTTCAATTCCCAGCATCTCCAACAGGTGATATTGTTCAAAACACAGTCAATGACACATCTTTAAACAAGGTTTATTTTGAAAAAAAAAAGAGGTCAAATTTGTGTGTACTGAGGGGATGTAGCTCAGTGGTAGAGCGCATGCTTAGCATGTATGAGGTCCTGGGTTCAATCCCCAGCATCTCCAAACTTCAATCTTGATCCAAAAAAATCTGACCAGAATAATTTCACATCTTGAAATTAAAAAGTTGGATCAAATAACAAAGACTATTGCTTTAGTTTAAACGGGATGTAGCTCAGTGGTAGAGCACATGTTAGAGGTCTTGGGTTCATTCCCCAATATTTCCAACCAGTGATATTGTTCAAAACACAGTCAATGACACATCTTTAAACAAGGTTAATTTTGAAAAAAAGAGGTGAATTTCATGTGTACTGAGGGGATGTAGCTCAGTGGTAGAGCGCGTGCTTCGCATGTATGAGGTCCTGGGTTCAATCCCCAGCATCTCCAAGCTTCAATCTTGATCCAAAAAAACCTGACCAGAATAATTTCACATCTTGAAATTCTGAAGTCGGAGCAAAGCACATGTTAGAGGTCTTGGGTTCATTCCCCAATATTTCCAACCAGTGATATTGTTCAAAACACAGTCAATGACACATCTTTAAACAAGGTTAATTTTGAAAAAAAGAGGTGAATTTCATGTGTACTGAGGGGATGTAGCTCAGTGGTAGAGCGCGTGCTTCGCATGTATGAGGTCCTGGGTTCAATCCCCAGCATCTCCAAGCTTCAATCTTGATCCAAAAAAACCTGACCAGAATAATTTCACATCTTGAAATTCTGAAGTCGGAGCAAAGCACATGTTAGAGGTCTTGGGTTCATTCCCCGATATTTCCAGCCAGTGATATTGTTCAAAACACAGTCAATTTGTTTTGAAAGTATGAGGTCCTGGGTTCAATCCCCAGCATCTCCAAACTTCAGTCTTGATCCATAAAAATCTGACCAGATCATTTTCACATCTTGAAATTAAAAAGTTGGAGCAAATAACAAAGACTGTTGCTTTAGTTTAAACGGGATGTAGCTCAGTGGTAGAGCACATGTGAGAGGTCCTGGGTTCAATTCCCAGCATCTCCAACAGGTGATATTGTTCAAAACCCAGTCAATGACACATCTTGAAACCAAGTTTTTTTGGAAAAAAAAACAGGTCAAATTTGTGTGTACTGAGGGGATGTAGCTCAGTGGTAGAGCGCATGCTTAGCCAGTATGAGGTCCTGGGTTCAATCCCCAGCATCTCCAAACTTCAATCTTGATCCAAAAAAGTCTGACCAGATTAATTTCACATCTGAAATTAAAAAGTTGGAGCAAATAACAAAGACTATTGCTTTAGTTTAAACGGGATGTAGCTCAGTGGTAGAGCACATGTGAGAGGTCCTGGGTTCAATTCCCTGCATCTCCAACAGGTGATATTGTTCAAAACCCAGTCAATGACACATCTTGAAACCAGGTTTTTTTGGAAAAAAAAACAGGTCAAATTGGTGTGTACTGAGGGGATGTAGCTCAGTGGAAGAGCGCATGCTTAGCATGTATGAGGTCCTGGGTTCAATCCCCAGCATCTCCAAACTTCAATCTTGATCCAAAAAAGTCTGACCAGATTAATTTCACATCTGAAATTAAAAAGTTGGAGCAAATAACAAAGACTATTGCTTTAGTTTAAACGGGATGTAGCTCAGTAGTAGAGCACATGTGAGAGGTCCTCGGTTCAATTCCCAGCATCTCCAACAGGTGATATTGTTCAAAACCCAGTCAATGACACATCTTTAAACAAGGTTTATTTTGAAAAAAAAAGAGGTGAAATTGGTGTGTACTGAGGGGATGTAGCTCAGTGGTAGAGTGTGTGCTTTGCATGTATGAGGTCCTGGGTTCAATCCCCAGCATCTCCAAACTTCAGTCTTGATCCAGAAAAATCTGACCAGATTATTTTCACATCTTGAAATTAAAAAGTTGGAGCAAATAACAAAGACTGTTGCTTTAGTTTAAACGGGATGTAGCTCAGTGGTAGAGCACATGTGAGAGGTCCTGGGTTCAATTCCCAGCATCTCCAACAGGTGATATTGTTCAAAACCCATTCAATGACACATCTTGAAACCAGGTTTTTTTGGAAAAAAAAACATGTCAAATTGGTGTGTACTGAGGGGATGTAGCTCAATGGTGGAGCGCATGCTTAGCATGTATGAGGTCCTGGGGTCAATCCCCAGCATCTCCAAACTTCAATCTTGATCCAAAAAAGTCTGACCAGAATAATTTCACATCTTTAAATTAAAAAGTTGGAGCAAAGACCATTGCTTTAGTTTAAGAAGGATGTAGCTCAGTGGTAGAGCACATGTGAGAGGTCATGGGTTCATTCCCCAGCATATTCCCAACCAGTGATATTGTTCAAAACAATGACACATCTTGAAAAAAGGTTTATTTTGAAAAAAAGAGGTGAAGTTAGTGTTTACTGAGGGGATGTAGCTCAGTGGTAGAGCGCATGCTTAGCATGTATGAGGTCCTGGGTTCAATCCCCAGCATCTCCAAACTTGAATCTTGATCCAAAAAAGTCTGACCAGATTAATTTCACATCTGAAATTAAAAAGTTGGAGCAAATAACAAAGACTATTGCTTTAGTTTAAACGGGATGTAGCTCAGTCGTAGAGCACATGTGAGAGGTCCTCGGTTCAATTCCCAGCATCTCCAACAGGTGATATTGTTCAAAACCCAGTCAATGACACATCTTTAAACAAGGTTTATTTTGAAAAAAAAAAGAGGTCAAATTTGTGTGTACTGAGGGGATGTAGCTCAGTGGTAGAGCGCATGCTTAGCATGTACAGTAGGTCCCATTTCGTTTTGTCGCGTTTCACGCGTGAATCACACGAGACTCACGTGTGATTCACGCGTCTTTTATTTATTTTTTCCCCAGTGATGCTGCAATGACCCAAACAACCACCAGGTGGCACTTGTGAGCAGGGTTAGGAAAATTGGCTTCTCATCGGTCTTTGTTCTCTGTTCACGGGACAACTTTCTGTGGCTTTATAGCTCAATAATAAGGAGATGGACTCTGGTGTGAGAGGACCCGGGTTCAAGTCCAGGCTATGACACTTTTGATTTTGTTGACGTTTACATGTTTTCTAAAACATACTTAGTAATTAGGCCAACACATTTAAAATAGTTGCTAGACGGTAGTAAACTTCACAATCTGCACCAACCAAACTGCAGGAAAAAAATGCAACTTTATTCAGTAACGGAGTAATCTGATTCATATACTCCCCCCGCCAATAAAAAATTGAGGATTGGCTGGGGCTTGAACCCCGAACGCTGCCGAGAATAGTTTACCTAAACAGAGCTAAACCATTTTCAACGGTAGTGAATGGGTAAAAGTTTCATGCGTCACTTCCGGTGCCAGCGGAAGTGACGTGGGCGCGCTGCACTAAAACGGAGAAAGCCGGCTTTCTCCATTCATTGTGGATTACACACGCACTCGGTAAGTCTCCTCTGATAAACACAATGTTTTTGTGCTCGTTCTTTATGTTTCACTCCATAAATCTCTCATATTGTGCGTAGATCGTTCACACACGTCTGTAGTTTATATCTCGAGTGTGTAGTGCGCTGTTTATGATTGTTTACCTCCGTGTCATATGTTTGTTGCTGCTGCTGCTGCTGCTGCTCGTAGATCTCTCTGTTTGGATCAATATAGTAAAGAAAACACTTTCTCTGCGTTGTCAAACAATCTGTATTCACTGTATTCTACTGTATACAGTAATGCAGTTTGTTTACGTCTGGTTGTAGTAGTATTTCCAGCGCTAGTTAACGCGGTGTTTTGGGATGTACACACGTGAGCTAAAGCACACTGTATACAGATCAAATGCACTTTTAATAAGTTTAATGCACATAGTTGTTGTAACAGGCTGTGTATAAGTGCTGCTGTGAGTTTGGCTCAGTGTTGTCACTGTGCTCTTTCTCTGTTCACTTACTATTGTCTCATAAATATAATACAGTTTGCTCCATCTGTTGTACTGTAGTGTACAGTATGCTTATCGTTGATGTGTGTACTATCTATATGTATTTCACATTTCTATAGTTCAGCAACACATTGAGTTGAAAATGAATTATATGCAGTTAGTTTACGACAATGTATTAGTGTTTTACCAGTTCATATTTTCCTTCTATAACTGTACTTACTGTATCCCAGAGCCTCATGCTGCTAATGTCCAGATGTAAACATACAACTGTATATGTCTTCTCTAGATTATACAGGATTCATGCTTCTTTATTATGCTAAAGATATATACATTATACATACTTCTCTATCATGCTATAGCTAGATATTTTATGATCTTTTTTTGTTGTTGCAGACGATATGAAGACATTTTCATTCTTTCCTGGCCGCGTCACTGTGATTTTTCGCAAGGGCCCACGTGGATTCCTGCTGCAGGACCCTTCGGAGGAGGCGAGGAAGATCAGGGACGACCCGTCCATGAGGGAGTGCGGTGCTCCTCTGAGGGAGGAGGTGGTGAGGGAGAACGCCCTCACTCTGGTGCGAGTGGGAGGAGGTGATGCCTCAGACAAGGCTGAAGTGCTGGGGGAGTACATCGCTCACAGCAGGCAGTAAGACCAGCACAGTGCCTGTTGTCACCATGCCCCCTGCAGCAGTGAACCCCCCTCCTTCTGCACAGACTCATGTCACCGCTGTCTGAGGAGGCCATAGAGAAGGTTGTGCAGCGGATCTTGGAAAAGCAGCAGCAGCCTCCAGCAAATAAACCCCACACAAAGAAATGCCTGTCTTGTGACCAGCCAAAATCCAAATATGAGGGCGATGGCAGCTCCATCC